GATGATCCCTTCAGGACCAGTGGTGTGAGTGGCGTAAATAAGGGGGGGGGGGGGGGGGGGGGTGGGAAGGGGGAGTGAGAGAAGGGTCCTTGGAGGAGGTAACTCCTGAGTAGAACTTTGAAGGAAAAGGAAGAGCTATGTGGGCACATGGCCTTCGGAAACATCCTGTGGTCTTAAGGGAACTGCGTCTGATTTAGGAGAGAGCGGGGACGGAAATATGAGAGGAGAGTTACTTAGAAATGTGACTGGAGAGACAAGCTTGGGCTTTGTCCTGCAGGCAAAAGGGAGCTCAGTCCGAACAGATTTCTTTACCCTTCAGAAACAGTCCGGAAGGGGGACTGGGGGCTGCAGGGCAGTTAGGAGGCTGCAGCAGCGTCACCCACAGTGACAAAGCAGTCTCGTGTGCGCAACACTGTCCTGGTGCTAAGTTACCTAGAAGGGGGACGATGGTGGTGGGGAGGAGACCAAACTGAATGGGCCCAGGAGGTGACTCACACTGTGGGGGAGAGAGGAAAGGTAGCTCTTTGCTGTTCTCGTCTTACCCTCTAATAACCCAGAGGCTGGTGCACAGTTCAGCCTATCAGCCCCGCCGAGGCAGGGCCGTGGGCCTTTTCTCTGCTGTAACCCTGGCCTCTCCAGTACTGATAGGTGGAACAGTAACGTTGAATGAACGTTCACTGAATCTAAATAAATAAGTGAAACCACTTCTCATCTTCCCTGGCCTTCGGTCAGACTCTCAAGTAGGCTTGCCCTTTTGCGGGGCATGAATCTCCCCGACAGCCTGGTGAAGCCTATTACTCCTTTCCAGAATGCTTTTTTAAGTACACAACAAATAAAATACACACAAAAAAATTATATTAAGACAGTATCATCAAAAATCCTTTTTAGAGGGTGATTAGTAATGTAAACCCACTGCCACTGGGTTGATTCTGATCAGAGGAACCCCAGAGGGTTTTTGAGCCCATCTCTGTGGGATTGTTTCACTCAGAGCAGTGGGTGCGTCGGAATCAAGGACGGTGCCTTAGCGGTCCAAAGCTGGCGGAGTAGCACTACTCACTGAAAAACCGAACCACAGTCACTGCCACCCTGGCAATGCCCACTCATAGGAAAACCTTTAGGGGCACAGAACTGCCCCTGTGGGTTTCAGAAACGGCAACTCCTTATGAGAGTAGAAAGCTTCATCTTTCACAGAGAAACTGGTGGTTGCAAACGCCCAGCTTGCAGTTAGCAGCTCAATGCATAACTCACTAGGCCACTAAGGCTCCTCCCCAGGGGTCTAAGAGCTCCTTTATAATGCATTACATAACAAATCTAGTGGCAGATGTAATCCTGACCATAATTTCAAAGTGGTGATGAACATAGATGGTATCTCAAGACATTTATAGCCACTGAGAACCAACCACTGTACTGTGATAAGGAAACATGTATGGTTTGGTTTTTATTCGTGGCCACGTCGCAGGTACTGCTGGAAGGAAAGAGCTCAGTCGGAGGTTCAGTACGTAAGGATGTAATTAATCCACCTTCTCTTGCAGGTTTGTAAACCCAGGTTAGGAACCCTTGGGAGAAAAAGGGGCTCAAGGGAAGGCAGGAAAAACTCCTCCCCACCCCCCTGACATTGGCCATGTGGAGATTTTTCTGCTGCAGACCCTGGCTATCTAGGAGCAAGGAGGGGCGGCGATGAACAATGGCCAAAGGAGGCTGTGCATCTGCGTGGGAGTTCTGTGGGAGCTGAGCATAAAGGGCTTCTTGGGTCACCAGGAACCCTGTTTGGCTCACCCTGCAGACCTGGCTGTGTCTCCCAGGTCCACCCAGCACGCAATGCCTTGGGGTTGTCAGGCTGTGGGCACAGTTGACAAGGAGTGACAAGAGGAGGGCTATATAACCGTTCCGGCTGTGCCCACCTACCACTCTGGATCTTACTCTGAATAATTTCAGGCCAGGGCTCCCAGCAGCAGTCGGAGAGTCCAGCTCTGAATACCATGAGGGTCTGACTTTAGGGCACCAGAAGGGTCTGCAGGTTTCTCAGGGTGTGCAAGAACATGAGTCCTGAACAGCCTCTGCCCTCTGGATCCTAACAGAAAGGTGCCATAGTCGGGAGAGAACTGTAACTTCCTCACAGGAAGCCAACGTCCGTGCACGAGGACCCACTGGACACCACCCAATTGGTCGGCAGTTGCCTTTCTCTGTTCCCAGACAGATGCATGTCCTTCTGTCTCGCAGACCAAGTACCTAGACAACGCTCATGGGAACTCCTTCCTACGAAAAAAGAACACCCTCTAAGGTGGACGCAAAAGACGCTTTCCTAGAGCCTATTTTCACACCTCCCGGTGAAGCGCTAAGATGAAATTTATATAGACACGCTAAAAATTACTTTGAGGACACTCCAAGTGCTGGGTCCCCCAAATCATACACAACATCATTACCCCGCATGCTTAGCCCGAGAGAGGAGGGGCCTGAAACCCACTGACCAGAACGTTGTCAGAGACAGCGGTAGCGGCGAAGGTGCCTGAGCTATGAAACGTAAGAGAGTTCTTTAGACAAGCACCAAAACCCAAACCCAAACTCTGCCATCGAGTCAATACTGACTCATAGCGGCCCTGCAGAACTGCCCCTGTGAGTTTCCGAGGCTAAACTGTCGATGGGAGTTTTCTCCCGAGACGCTAACAATAAAGATTAATTCCAACCACCTCCGGCCTCTTGCAATGTGCGAGCAAGAAGTTGGAAACGACTGGAATCCATCCTCACTGTTACCATCTCAGGAGAAAGATGTGAGCAATGTGTGAGCAGGAGGGAACCAATCTGAGACATGAAAAAAAAACCCACAAAAGGTGGAAAAGACCAGGGGGAAGCTACCCTTCCCTGTTCCTGCAACTGAAAGAGGGCAAACCCCAAGGTCAAGTTTTTTGTTGTTGTTTATTAGAAGATCATTTTATTGGGGACTCTTATAACTCTTATTACAATTCATACATCAATTGAATCAGGCATGTTTGTACATATGTTGCCATCATTCTTTTCTAGACATTTACTTTCTACTGAGCTCTTGGTATCAGCTCCTTTATTCCCTCCCTCCCCCCACCATGGTCAAGTTTTGACACATCTTCCAGCTTTGTGACCTGGGGCAAATGTATCACACTTTCTGGTCCTCGTTCCTAATCTATAAAATGAAGGTAACTGCACTGCCTTGAGAGGCTCCCCAGAGGGGTTTAATGAAGTGACACATACAAAAATACTTCCCGAGTCACAAAGGGTTTTCAGGTGCAACAAGACAACACAACACCGCCTAAAATGGGGGATCTCAGAATCCCCAACCTGCAGTGACTCTGCAGGCACGGGGATAGCGAACCTCGCAGGCACGAGGGAGAGGGGATCAAGCCCATCGATGAACAAAAATGGAAGCATCAGCTCTGTTCTGTGCTTGACTCTCTAACCACCACCACAGAGGCAATCGCTGTCCAAAAGCCTGTCAATACCTGAGCACCCGCACAGCTGACCCACGGCTAATGCTCAGGATGCTGCAGGATTCTTTTAGCCATTGCAGAGAAGAGCCGTTTCTATCCTGTGCGTTCCCAGGGTCCTTTAACCATGTACGATGAGAAAACTAGTTTTTTCTATTCAATTTGGGCTTTCCTACCTCCCGCCTAGTCCGGACCTTGTACTCTCACCGGAGGAACAGCCAAAAGGAACAGCAGAAGTGGAAGCAGGCGTTCCTTGCCTCAGCATGTGGTGAACTCCACAGCATCGTCCCCTGAGCAGCGTGAGAGGGTGTCTCCCCACGGGGCTGTGGGCTAGCTGGGGCTGCTAACTGTAAGGGCAGTGGTTCACACCGACTGGCCCCTCTGTGGGAAAGAGACTGCCTGCTTTACAGGCTCAGAACCTTATATAAAGGGTTGCAATGAGTCAGAGTCAATGGCCACGGGGGCCGTAATCAAAGACCACTTGCTTCATTGCTCTCTGCAACTTCCACTCCAAGTTGCCAGTAAAGTGGATCTTCAATCCAATCCACGCTCACTACCTGGGGGGCACCAGCTTTGAAACCACCTGTGGAGGCCATCGGTGAAGGTGGCCTCAGGCTTGGCAAGGTTGGTCTCAACCATCACCTTCCTGGAGCCTCCAAACATGCCCGGTCTTCCAGGCCTCAGAGAGATCACAGGACTGCCATCCGTCAGTCACCCTGTCCCCACTTAGCTCAAACAGCACAGGGACCAAGCAGAAAAGGGGTTCACTGGTGTCAGGAATTCCCTGGGAACCATAAATGATCCAAAGAACAAACCAAATTTGAGTCTAATTGTTCAACCAGGAAAACAAAGGGACAAACCTGACAATCTTGTCAGCCTGAAGCCCCTCGGCCCCAGTGTACAACTGTGACTTGGTTGACATAAGCCAATGTGCCCGAGTGCTGTGGGTACCGTAAGAAGTCAGACTCAGGTGACGAGAAGCACAAGAAGAGCCCTGTTAGTGCTGTAATCACAAGACCAGTAGACATAGGAAAAGAGGAGGTCTAAGTAGTTGGGCAAGGTTTTGGGGGGATTCAAAAGCTCAGATACAAACAAAACTACTTGTGATGTGGTATCATTATTGTCTATATAATAACATACCTTGGTTGATATGAGCCTGAAACACCCTAGCTTCTTACCTTCTCCCCCACCCCACAAAAACAGCGGCTTTTATAATGCATTTTTGATAACACCAAGTTTCTTTGGATGGAATTGCTGTTCCAGAAAAGGGGTAGTACCTTAAAGGAATACTTGCGGCTGATGCGATCCTCTGGGGCCACAGGCGAGATCACATAGCTGGGCAGAGGGATGCTCCCAAGGACCACTTCTTCTCTGCTGTCTTTGGACGGAAAAACACATCAAAACCACCTTCTGCGACATCTTCCCTGGGCTCATCCATCCCCTGCCCTAGTTCAGGATTCCTTATTTCCTCCTCTCAGCACTACTGCAATCACTTCCGCACTGATATCTCATGCAGATGTTCCCTGGAGACCTTTGTGCTACTAAAGTGCATCAAGCAGGGCCCACACTCAGAGACGGGTATGTAGGCACACACAACTCCACCAGCTAAGTCCTGAGCCAGAGAAATGTACCACATGCAGTGGGGACACAGAGGCAGTCTGGGGGAGCTGAGAAAGTGTTGAGGGTGATGTCTAAGTTATATTTTAAAGGATGGGAAAGGCATTCCATGGCTGGGGGGGGGGGGGGCAAACCTCACACAGATCAAGTTCCAGAATGGGTGAAAAAGCCCTCTGTCCTACAAACCACTTTCACTGGTAGAGGCAATGTCCTAAGAACAAGTTGATCTTGTTGCTCTACAACCCACAGGTACTTGCTGATTCCCCACTGGATATGGCAGGGGACCAACTCCCACTATCTGGTTGTATCCGGGCCCTTCTTGAACCATATCTCCTAGCATATCCTGCGCTTGAGATGCGCTGCTGCCACTAAGGAAGACTGGCTTTTGTGTGTAGACCTGTACTCAAGCTGGTTCCTCTGCTTATAAGGCCCATCTTCCCCCAAGAGGCCAAAGCTCTACTTTCTTCCTAAAAGCCCAACTCAGACTCTACTTCCTCCAGGTCACCTCCCCAGCTCCTCCCGTATGGAATGGACTTCACTCCCCTGACTGCCAAAGCCTATCCCACCCTAGTTGTGTCTGAATTGTAAGCCATCTCCTCCTTATTTGGAAGCTTGCTTGCTTTGCACCCTTGAACAGTCCTCAATGTTACATCCTGGGCCTCCATGTGTGGCCATATGGCCAATTGAATTGAGCAGTTTCCCATTCCATATTATATGGGATCACCCCAGGTGCTTAACTCTGAATCTTGACATCCTAAGACGGCTGCAAACTAGTTCCTACTTATTTTCACCCAAAAGAAGGACCCTGTTCCTGTGCAGAATTGGTAAAACGGAAGTCACCAACCATCCACATGATATAAAAAGAGCATTTTCATAGGACACTACATTACCAATTAGCTCGAACCACTGGCTTTGCAAAGACTACAGGATGGTCATCATTTGAGTTACCTCCCCATCCCCTCCAAGACAAAGAACTTTTGTTGGCTTAAGCCCTGGCTCACCTTTATAGTAAAACAAGCAGTAATCAGCAAGCACAAACCACCTCCTCTTCCACAGCCTCATCCCAGAGCTGTCCTGCAAGGCAAAGCACACTTGTCAGGGCCACACCCAGGGACTCTGCCACGCCCCCCATCACATACAACCGGAGCCCAGAACCACATCTTAGCCAGATTCGCTCTTTCTTACGATGAATTAATGGATATTTTAGTGAAGAGCCAGTCCTTGAATACAGGGCATTAAAATTTAGATTCAATGAAGATTTAACCCCAAGAAGTAATGTTCTTTTACTCTTACCCCCCTCTTTTGGGGGAGTCTTCTGGAAACATTATTATAAGCCCTCTTCTTTTAGAAAAGAAAATAGAAATAAAGGCCTCTTATTGAGAAATCACCTTTTTAAAAAATAGATTTTTTTAAAAAAGTTAGGTGCTATGCCATAATTGATGCTGATCAGAAAATTGAATTTACATGGTATTGAACCAAGTGTCTAAGCTAGGTAATCAATCAAGCCAAAGTTCTTATTTAACAAAGCTCAACTCCTGACCACAGGGACTGATTTTGCTGTGGTGCCTAAAGAGACTTGGATTCTCCAGCTATCAAAGGGCTTCATACCAAGAATCTCACTTTACTCATCCAATATGTAAATCTTTACATCTGTAAAAACTATCTTTAGATTATTGGGGAAAACAGAAGAAGAAAAAAAAGCCCAGGGAAGAAAAATAGCAGTGTTTTAATTTCAGATTTCTCCCAACACTAAGAGAACCTCAGAGTGGCTTCTTGCTTTAGAAGTGACTGATAAAACACATTGTCTTCTTTTCTACAGAACTTTCTGACAGGTTTAAATTTAAAACCAAAACCATCTTTAAAGTTCATTTCTAAACCTAAGTACAAAATGTGGTTTGTTTCTGCTCCACTTATAAGTGGCTAAAAGTAAATTTAATTGGTAAATTCACACATTGTATCTTATCTTATGCAAAGCTGACCAGATAATCTTGAGCATCTTGGGACATGTTTGCATTGTTTGGAAAACACCCATTCTTCCGGCACTGGCTACACGTCATTTTTTCTGGGAAGCCTTTCTGGAGGGCCCAAAGCACAGCTCCGTCCTCTCAGCTCTGTGTCCCTAGCACTCCACATATTCCTGTGGGATGCACACTGCAATGGCTTCCTCTCCTGCTCCACAAAGCCTTTGGAAGAAACAAAGCATTTGGGCCAGCTCTCAGAGTTTGACTTGTGTTTTAGCAGGGCTTCAAAAGGGTTGGTTCATTCGGGTTTGACACCTGCTAAGAAGTCACCTTTCCACCTCAGATATATTGAATAAGAATCTACATTTCAACAAGAGCCCCAGGTGCCCACATTAAGACTCACCTGGGATCCTGGTAAAATAGATTCGAATTCAATCTATCTTGGGTAGAAATGCAAATCCTCAACAGGGGATGAACTATGTGTCACCCTGTGTTAGTTTTGAGGATGACACAATAGGGGAGGCTGGACTGAGTGAAAGGAGATGAGAAAAGCTTGTCTGTCTCCCCTAACCCATGGGCTCCTTAAGAACAAGGACCACATTTTATTCATCTCTTCATACCTGTAGGCAAACCCTCGAAACGTGACAGGTATTTGATGACTATGTGAGTGAGCGAGTGCATGAGTGAGTGCACCCGTCAGTCAGTGAACAACAAGGAGGAAGGAGAGGGAAAAGACGTGTCTCGGTGCAGGCAGCTCACAGGCTAGCCATCGCCAGAGGACCAGAGACAAATCAATTGGCAATGAGGGCAGAAATGAACAATGGCATGAGGGAGGCAGAGCTGGCTGACTGAATGGATGGATGTAGGAGTCTGAGCTGGTAATAGTGCTGAGACTTCTAGACTGAGTGGGAGAACAGTGGTACTATTAACCACGATCCAGAAAAAGCAGGCTGGGGGAGAGAGAGAGAGGTAAGCAGACAATGAGCTGAGTTTGGCTGACTTGGAGCCTGCGGTGCTGGAGGAAGAGACAGAGGAAAGGATGTGATCTTTCAGTTAAATTATCACAAAGGCTCTTACCATCTGCAGGAAGACTGACTTCAAGCTAGGCCTAGGTCCCAGGGCTGCCCATAGCAATGGGGGGCAAGATGGTGAAATGTTTTGTTGTTGTTGTTGTTGTTGTTTTTAAGAGAAAGCTGTAGCGATTGAGCAGATAAATCCACTTAAAAAAAGAAAATTGCTCAGGACAGTGAGCAGAATCCACTTGCCTCCGATAAACGTCAGAACAAAACTGATGTTTCCCATCCCACCATGGCCAGGTCCCCACCGCCCTCACACCTGTCTCCTCACCTGCTTGTGCAGCCAGCCCCTGACCACCACTGGAATACTGGGGTTCCTCCGAATGGCCTGGTCCCTCTTCCCAAAGCTGTGGACTTTATTGCTGGACTTTATAATCTAGGGGGAAAGCAGACGTGAACTCAAGCAGCACGAGAGACTTAGGGAAACACAAAAGAGCACTCCTCTGTTACAACGGCTGAGAGCTCTTTGATGGAAAGAACGCAAGGAGACAGGGAGGAGGCGGCACTCGGCCACAACTCGCTAATTAATGAGCGAGATCAAGATCCAGCGGGCTTTCCCTTTGGGGATAATGTACAGGACATTTCAATCAGCTGTCACCAGTATTGGCTCTAGCACTTCCCAGGTAGCCCTGGAGCAAGTTGACTTTGACCATAGGTCAAGGTTCCCAGACCGTGAACACACAGACTCCCGAATCTTTCTCAAGGGCACCTTCCTTGAGCGCCCCTCCCCGGCCCCTGTTTCCAGTTCGCACCAGGCTATCCCTAACACAGGCCCCACAGCCGCTGCCAGGAAATTGAAGAAGGTGTGGGGGTCCTATCTACACCCTGCTTTCTTGGGCTGGAGAACATCTCTAGCGTGTCTCCCTCACTCGGCTATCATGGTGATCCTGAGAACTTCTGCTCACGAAACAGAAAAGCAGGGTGGGGAGAGCGAGCGGCCAGGGGCTCACCTTGGACCCAGGCCTGGCCTCTATGGTGGAAGCGGTCCCCGCTGTGGACGTTTCACTGACCATACTGGACGGTCTTTGGTGTCTCTCTTGCTTCGACATATGTGGATTTGGCCTGTGCGGAGACATAATGAGACCCAGCGAGTCAGGGCCCAGCTCCAGAATGGAGTGTGGAGTCTGACGTCTGTTCCCGTTCAGAACTGGAGCGTGGCCCTGGAGAATCCCAGGTCGGATCTTCCGAAGACCGTCTGACCCCAGACTGCAGGCCGGGGCTGGCATGTCCAGCCAGGACACCTTCTGAAAAGAGTCAAGGGGAACACAGCTAGACACATCTTCACAGCCAGATACCCACACAAGGGCCATGACAGTCATCTGGTCCTGTTGCCCATGGACCCCCACACTGCTCTCACGCCTGTGTTGGTGGTACCTGCCCGGTGGAAAGGGCAACCCGCACACCCCACTCCCAACTGAACTACACAGCAAGAGCAATCAACACCACACACACACACACCCTGCCTCTCCCTGGCTCCTAAAAGAAGAGCTTTATAATTAGTAACAAGAAATCACTTGCACGCACATCCACACCCCCATACACACAGAGAATCGCTTACATAAACGCCAGTGGGGCTTGCCTCCCAAAATAGAAGACTCAACAAAGAGTCCTATTCTGGGAACCCACCATTTGCCCCAAAACAGACCCACCGGAGATAGTAACCCCTAGTGCTGTGCCAGGAGAGTGGGCAGTCACGAAGCATGCCTTGGGCACCAAGGAGGATTCCCCTCCAAGCTTCCTAGTGGGCACCGCGGCAACATGGTGTTCTCCACTGAGAAGCCGACCCACCCTGGGGACACCTCAGGAGAGCTCTCAGGAGACACACAGGGGCCCTCTCCCTCACCTGCCTCCACAGAGCCCCAGCATTTGCAGCAGTCTTTCAATGCAGCAGTGGCAAAAGCCTCCCACAAAGTCAATACTTATCCTTGAAGTCTCGATGTGCGATTCCTAGACCTGTCTCCTCCCAAGAGAGGAAGTCTTCCTCACAACAGACGTCCCAGCGGTCGGTGGCTGAGTTACTGTCCATACTCTGGTGGGCAATGGGCCTCGGGCAGCGTGAGATCAGACAAGCTGCAGTAAACTGAGCAAACCGGGGCTCTCTGCCTGGGTCTGAGGCCTGTGCCAGGGCCTTCAGGAGCTGCAGGTGGCAACTCGGCGCCGCACACAGCACAAGGGAAAGCACTCTGGCTGCCCCTTGACCAGGCTCCTTTCAGAGAGGTGCTATGGTGGGGATCCGAGTCTCCACCTTGGAGATCCGCTGCGTCCGTCAACGGTCACTGCTGCTCAGAGGACGAGTGAGCTTTTCCAGGGACCCAGAGAAGTTCTCTGCAGAAGCAGCCAGGACCACTGCGCTCTCCAGGCTGTGCCAGCGGGACCCCTCTGCTGGGCACCAGCTCTCCAGGGGGCCGGGCACTGCTGGGTGCTTGGTGGCTGGAGGTGCGAGTCCCAACAGGCAGAAAGATGACTGGCTCCTTATCAGCACCGGCTCTCACTCCAGAGTCCCGCCCCGGCCTCCATCCCAGCCAGGCTTTTGTTCCGGCTCCCCACTTGAGAATGTCACCACCCTCTGGCCGCGCTGTGTTGGCAGAGGCTGTGTGCAGCGGACAGACAATCACCAACTGGGGTGGGAAGGGGCGCTGAGTGGCTGCATTGTCCACCCCTGGCCTCCCGGCAAGTCTGCCCACGACATCTTCCCAGAGCCTGGTCCTGCCTGACTTTCAAGATTCCCCGGGGCTGAGACAAGGAAAAACTCTCTGGTGGCCCGCCATGGTAGCTGTATCTCTAAACTAAAAGTCGTGACAGGGGGTCCAACAGTACAAAGGGTTTGTCTGGAAGTTTAATCTACTCTTGCTTAAGAATCTTAAGCAAGAGGCTCATTATGCAATGTTTATCTATAAGAAAAATCCGGAGAGAAACATATTAGCTATAGGCCTGCTAGTCAAAGGAAAACTACTTTTCTTTCTTTTTTTGTTTGTTTGTTTTTTTTTAAACATTTTATTAGGGGCTCATACAACTGTTATCGCAATACATACACACATCGATTGTGTAAAGCGCATTTGTAC